CGGAACACAGTTGTTCTCATCAGACCATTGCCTCAATGCTTGGATGGTGGTTTGATCTATGAGGTCTTTCTGTGCCGTAGCCCAGAGAAGATTTGTGGCACCATCAAGAACAAGTAGAATGATATACTTGTTCTTGTGAAGTTCAACCTCACAATGATCAGCAAAAACAACATCACCAAAACATGAAGCTCTAATACCGGAGACTCTGGCTCGTGGCGGAGGTGCCACTGAAGTGTTACAAACACGGCAGTTCCTGACAACTGATTCATACTTCTCTAAAACAGAGTCAGGAAGCTTCAACATAGAAACACGTCTACGAAACTGAGTAGGACTCATATGGTAGTGCTTCACATGAAGCTTGTAAAGCTCTACCTTGTCCTCCAGTCTCTGCAACATCTTCCTATATGCCGGTGTCATTGCAACAACTTCACTACCAGGTAATGGGATTGAAATCCGCCTAGGCTCAAGAGCGCCATCACCTGGTTCAAGTGGTTCATACTTATCACTTGATGGTCCTTTTGATGCTTTAGGAATTTCTACAAGTTCACCTTCTGGCCTCTCAGGTGGTTCTGAGGGAGTATACTCCTCAAGATCATCACCCTTTAAATCATGTGGAGGCTCAGATGGTTTCAACTTGTGTCCTTTCCAAAATGGATCATAACCCTTGGAGGTATACCGAAACTTTGGCGGCACAGGCTTTTCCGAGGCACTGGATGGTACACCTTCCTTCTCTGAAGAGAAGCCTGGTTCCCTGTCCTTTGCAATGGGAACCTTCTCTGAGGAGGAGCGCACCACTGCATCGGGATCACCAATGCCACGGTGCTCAATGCCAGCCTTCCTGATCTTAAGATCTGGAATTTTGGCATCTGGCTTGAACTTAAAAATTGTTCTACCACGCCATTCATAGCCAATTTGTACGTCCTTCCATTTTGCCTTGCGCCAATCATCTAGCTTCTTGATTTCTTCTCCTCCTTCTTTCTTCTTGATGATTGTCAGTCGCAAGTCTTCCAGCAAGTCAGTGTCTACAGGACAGGACTTAGTTGCTGGGAAAAGAATCTTCCTGTAATCCTTGTGGTGACGTGTCAGTTCTCTCTTGTGAACACCTACTTCCCAGTAGTCAACCACAGGATATGCATGCTCAGCTTCATCTTCATCACTATTGTGATCAACAGAAATATGGCCATATTCATAGTGAGTGAAGTGAGAGTAAAAACTCTTCTCACGCCGAGCCTGCAAACGCACGTCAGACAAATACCAATGCAATATCTTGGAAGTCCAAAACAAGATGAGTACTGGCTGCAACCTTCAACTCCAAATGTTTGATACCAAGAGGCACCGATGTCAGATAAGCATGTTGAGGCGTCAGCCTTAGTTCAAATCCTAAGTTTCTCATCTGTGGCAAGCTCATAAGCAAAGGGACTTCTCCTTCTTCCACTATGTCGAACTCTGTATTGTGGATCGCCCATGCGCGATCATACATGTAAATCACCAGTTTCTGAGAGCAAGAAGCCTTCTGAGAATTGGCAAAGTAAAACTTGCTCTTGGTAGCCTCAAAAGAGTACCATAGTCCACAATTTGGGTGACTGTCGACATAGTTACAAAAATAATCGACTGCACGCCTTGATCCCATAGCTCTAGTGCATCCAATGTCCAGGATTGCAATAGTTGGCGGGAAGCGATTCTCAGTCAAAAATGAAATAGCCTGCGTCTCTTTCACTTCTTCCTCAGCGCTCATAAGCGCAAAGCCATCAGGAGCACTTGTGAGCATCTCCTTTGACAAAGAGTACCTCACAGGGGCACTCATGCCATCGAAGATCATCTCACCATTGTTGACCTTACAGTCAGCTTCATCTTGACATGAGGTCATCATGCCTGACAGCAAGTTCACCTCACTGTCATGGACTTCAGCTGCTGTTGTCACACAATGCGCAAAGAAACCTTGGTGGCTTCCTGATGCTTGTGAAGATCTTGACGGTGCAGGCAAGGAGCGTGGCTGTTGTTGATTTGCATAGTTTGCAACTTGTTTGCCATCTCCTTTATCTTTTCCTTTTCCTTTCTTGCCTTTTCTCTTGCCTTTTCCTTTGTGGGAAAACCATGCTTCTTCAAGCTGTTGCCAAAAGTCATAGGCATCTTCATGTTCTCCTTGAAGATAGTCATTCATATCTTCGGCAAGAATGGCATCATATGCTACTTGGTTTGACTCCCAAGTGTCCTCATAAGGATTCTCCTCAAAATACTCATCTGGATAGGTTGGCGGTTGCTCATCAGCATAATGGCCTTTTCCTCGTCTCTTTCCTCCTTTTCCTTTTCCACGAGGTCTGAAAAATCTGCGGCCTGATCTTCCTTTGCCTTTTCCTTTTCTTCTTCCTTTTCCTTTGCCTTTTCTGGCTCTTCTTCCTTGGAATCTCCTCTGGAACCAAGAGAAATTCTGTTCATCATATACCCAAAAGACATCGTCCAGGGCGTCAAGAAATCCTTCTATTCCATCTTCTTCATCTTCGGCCCAAAAGCCATATGTACCATCGAGTTCTCCTTCTTCAAACACGAGGAATGATCTTCTACCTCCAGCACCTGTCGGCTGCATCAAAGGATTGTCTACTGAAGTCTTTGTCGTCCAGAACATCTCAATGAAAACTGTCCTCAACTCTGTTGTGGTGTATTGCTGCAAAACCCTACCACGATGAGTCATCAAAGAGGTCAAAGTGTTCCTCTGGTCCTGAGACAAATCTGCAAGTGACAGCATGAGTAAGGCAATGAGATTTTCTCCCAAAGGAAAATCGTTCTGATGAAAAGTTCTCAGATTGCCATTGATAGTCTGCATGATTTCCTGAATTCTTTCCGCCGTTGGAGCTATTCCATTCATCACTGCATCAGCTTGCATCTGAGCTTGTACCTGAGGATGTGCTTGTGTGACTGGCTCCAAAATGTCCATCCAACTGCTCATAAGCCTTTGGAGTAAAATCTGAAATCTTGTCATCCACTTCATCATGTCAGCTGATCCGCGATTGAAGCGCACGAATTGCATAAACCTATACAGGAATACATTGGTTGCTCCTTTCACAAAATATGGTCGTAGTACTCGTTTGAAATAATCTACTCCAGCTCCTGGTGGATCATTCGCCTTCAATGCATCTCTGTCTAAAACACGTTTGTATACAGCTGCTTCTCCTTCTAATCTGTTCCTCAATGCTGGTCCTCTCTTCTCATCCTCCAGCTCGGTGATATCGCACCAGTCGTCTATGGCATCCTCATAGGAAAACCATGAAGTCTTTCCATCATAAGATGGGGGCACCTTTGTAGTGACCTGTGTTGTCATTGCTATAGCTGCTGGTTCTCTTCTCACATGCCTATTCACATAGGCTGCTGGCTCATAAGCCACATCCGCATCAGGCTCTTCCCAGTCGTCAATCCAATCCATGGCCGTTTGCCTAAAAGCAAGTCTATGCCTAGGAAAGGAGCTCACCTGGGTCTTCCAGGATCACTGCTCCGCTACCACTGAAAGAGTGACTAGGGCGTACACGGTTGAGGTGCAGACCGCTAGTGTCTTTTTCTCCACAGAGTCTTATCCTCTTGAGCCTTATGGCAGTCAAGCATGGACACACTAGATAGGCCACTGGAGTGGAACCTGTACAAGTAGGCCTCTACATTTCAGGGGGGGTGGGGCGAGGTGACGGGGTGAGTCGGAGAGGAGGACGTCATGGGATCGTATCTGGGGGAGATAGGTGGTTGAGGTTGGGGGGCAGGCCAAGGAGTATAGGTCGCAGCCACATGAACAAGAAACCTCCCGTGCATGTGTACCTGGATCTTCCCAGTGTGCAACATGTCTGCCTAACTTGGCTAGGTTTTGTGGATGAAAAGGCTGAACGTCTGCACAGTTGGAAGATCCAGGTATGATCTAACTTTTTGGTGCAGTATGCGGCAATGAATGGACATGTTTGGTCTAACGCTGTCAATAAAGGGCGTCCAGAAGTGACCGGAACTGTCGACAGGAACGTCGGGATCAGATTGATCAGATTGGTAAAAGAAGGAAATTCTGCAGGGCAACGTCATTGTCTGATTCGGGGACTGATGGGTGGCGTTGAACGCAACTCCGTAGCTCAATCTCACAATCAGATGCAACGTCTGAGAAATCACTAAATGGACAACCTCCAGCAGTCACAGAGCTCGGGGTGGTGTGGCTCGTCCCATCCAGTGAGTGGAGTAGCTGGGCACCTCTATCCTCCGTTCGTTCGGCACCCCGAGCTCTGTGACTTCTGCCTGGTTGAGTTTGGTGCCACGCGACCCGTTCGGCCCCGAACAGTGTAAGGGGTCTGGACCTTCTCACCAATCCCTAGGGTTTGGTGAGAGGACCAGGAAAGAGCACTCAGGCGTCTTCGGCTTCGAGACAACCGGCCCCACGTCTTCGGCTTCGCCCCCC